CAACAAAAGATTTAGATTATTACATAGCTTAGTTGATAAGGCAGCTACAGCATCTGCAAGAATTAACTCCACTTTGGAAAGAAGTTCTGCTGAGGAAATGCTGAAAATAGTATTGCATGCTACAGACAAATCTTTTGTGAAAGAGAGTCAATCAATGGGGCCAACTTCATTGTTGTCTTATTTTAAGAAATGTCCACAGCCATCCCAGCCTATAGCAATTACTACTCTGATCAGTCAGCTGCCACTAACATTGAGGCAAGAGCCTTCACCAGCAAAGAGTATGACTTGTTGAAGGCTCAGTTAATTGTTAGCCTTTTTTAAGCAGTATTTTTAAAGTAAAGTATGTACCTTTTTAAAAAATGCAATGCTATTGCACACTTAATAGTCTACAGTATAGTGTAAATGTAATTATTATATGTACTGGGAAACCAAAAAATTCATGTGATTCACTTTATTGGGTGGTCATATTCATATATATGAATATAATAGTCATATTATTGTGGTGGTCTGGAATTGAACTTGCAGTATCTCTAAGGTATGTCTATAAAAGAAACTCAAACGATTCAATAGGAAGAAAACAAATAACCCAATTTTTAAAAATGGGCAAAGGACCTGAATAGACATTTTCCCAAGAAGACATAAATATGTCCAACAGGTGTATGAAAAGTTACTTAATATCACTAATCATCAGATAAATTCAAATTACAACCACAATGAGGTATCACCTCATACCTGTTAGAATGACTATTATCAAAAAGGTAAAATATAACAAATATTGGAAAGGATGTGGAGAAAAGAAAGCCTTTGCATGCTGTTGGTAAATTAGTATAACCATTATGGAAAAGTGTATGAAACTTCCTCAAAATGTTAAAAATAGAACTACTGTATGTTCCAGCAATCCCACTTTTGGGTATATAGCCAGAATAATTAAAAGCAAGATCTCAAAGAGATATTTGAACATCCATGTTTATTGCAGCATTATTTACAATAGCCAAGAGGTGGAAACAACCCAAATGTTCATTGACAGATTAATGGATAAAGAAAATTTATATACATACAATGGAATATTATAAAGCCTTAAAAAGGAGGAAATCCTGTCATATGCCACAATATGGATGAACCTCAAGGATATTATGCTAAGCAAAATAAGCCAGTCATAAAGGAACAAATACTCTATGATTCTATTCATATGAAGTATCTAAAATAGTGAACATAGAAACAGAAAATAGAAAGGCGGTTGCCAAGGGCTGGGAGAAAGGGAGAGGGAGAATTAGTATTTATGGATATGGATTCAGTTTGCAAGATAAAAAAGTTCTAGAGATCTGTTGCACAACAATATACTTAACAGTACAGAACTATACACTTAAAAATGGTTAAGATTATAAATTAAAGTTACATATTTTTCACCCCATATGCCCCCAAAAAAGCATTATCTGTGCAAAGTACAGTTTCTAAAAAAATATGTATTTGGGCTAATCTTCCAATTCTGTTCTAATAAGTACATATAATTCTAGATCTGATCATTCCATTTAACTCAAATATGATTGAGAAGTCCTTATGACCAATGAAGATTGGAGTGCTGAGAAATTATGTAAAAATCACTAGCCATATATTTCATGAGTTTTATGAAGAATTTATTATTTTCCATAAAAAGAGAGAGAGAGAAAAACTATGGATTTGGAGGGGCAGAATTTAGTGGCAGATTAAGCCAAAGGGAGAATGATTATTCACATCTTGGTGTGACAATCTCAGTTGGTTCCCGGGTGAATTTTGTTCTATTTTGCCTGACATCAAGATTTCAACGTGCATGGCTCATTAGTGCTTGTAGGCATTTTTATAATGGCAATTTATTACACTTTCAGGTGACAGAAGCTGTCCTTTAAAGAATTGCTTTCTGACCTCCTCCTCTTTCAACCTACAACACCTGCTGAATGAAGTGGCCTGTACTCCTTTCCTGTCCCCATATAGACACTGGAAGTTTTTGTGTGCAGGAGAGCAGGACTGAAAAGCTTTGGCTGGAAGGTTTTTGTAGCAGCCTGCTTGTTGAATTGCCATGGATCAACAATTTCTCAATGAGAAGAAGATAGATGAGAAGATAAAGTATTTGGTAACTGTAAAGCTTCAAGCAGGAACTCAAGAAGATTTTTAGAACATCTGGTCGGAATTTATTTTTTTTAGGTAAGCATCCCCTTTTACAACCAGCATACATAAAGCATTAAATTGGCTTACCCCACCCCTTCCTAACAAGAGAGAAGCTGGTTAGATTTATTACTCCTTTGGTACAGGTCTGGAGGGAGAGTGAAGTGGCATGTGGAATTCCCATGAAGGACTCCCTTAAAATCTTTAGGACTCCTTTTAGATAGAATGTTTGTCTTCAATTTCTAACTCATTTTTAAGAATCTGTCTAGATTGAGATTGTGAAAGATCATTAACAAAAATAAAAATAGATAATGTTTCTGGATTTTTTCTGTAATATTTATGTACAAAGAAGGGATATCATCAACACAAAACTTTTTATTCTCTTATTTTTAAAATTGGTTTTTGTGTAACTGGCTCATTCTCTTGCTTGGTTAAATTTAAAATTTATTTTCCTTTGACAATAAAGGCCGAGTTAATTGTTTTGTCTGTGTCTGCCTTCATTTTGTGTGTCCATAACAATCCCCAAACACCAAACTGCATTGTTCTTATAATATGGAAGATTATAACTAACAGGTTTCATAATACTTTGTTTTTTTAAAGATATAGCACACCCAACCAATCAAACCAAATAACCAGTTATTTCAAGATTGTATGAATATACTGCAGAAGGGGAGCTGATTTCAAATCAGTGTTTTCAAGTTCATGGAAAATTTTAACACTTATGTTAGAAGAGTATATTTCATTTAATGATGTTGCTTACATGATACTGTGTTCATGTTATTATCCATGCTAGAATAATTTGAAATAAATCTCACTTTTTGAAATGTACACTATTCATATTTATTCTGTAGCATCCTAAGTGCTTTAAATATTCATCTATAGTAAAAATGTGCTTTGAAACCAATGTATATAAAAGGAAAATTTTCTAATTTATGATTTTCAATGGGCCTAGTTACTTCCCACGTACCTAAGCTGTCCTTTACTAAACAACTATGCAATCAGATGATTTCCAAACATTCTTGTATTTCTATTATTCTTTAGCTTTTAAAATAGTTCTGAATATTAGCTATGGCTTACATAAAACTTAGCCTTGTAATAAATGTGATCTATTATTTATGCAAGACTTTCAGTGATATTATGAAAGAGAATGTTTAGAAACTTTTTACATTCCAGGAGAGAATGAAATTGGTTGGAGATACATCCAAGCAGAGTTAAAACTAGTTAAGGAGCAAATAAAAGCTTAGCAAGTCAAAGGAAATTTTGGGGTACAATTAATTTTTACTGTCATCTCTAGGTATGCTATAAATTTGTATTAAAATAATTAAGATCAGACTGTAGGGAAACAATCTGGAGCCTTTACATTTCATTCAAAAGACAAACAATAAATCGAATCAATGGAGAGGATTATTATTATTTTTTTTACCTATAGCTATTTCCAGATGGGGAGAAAAACAACCCCACCTTATATAGTTAGTACACTCAATTCAGAAACCACCATTTTTGTGTAGTAGCCAGTTTCTTTTCTTTCCTTGTTCCCCCACAGTGCCCTGCCTGCCTTGGTCATTTCACTGTTCATTAGCATCTCACCAGAAGAGGGAAGAAAAAAAAGAGGAGGTGAAATTAAGCAATCAACTTTGTTACTTGTTTAAAAAGGTGGCAAAGAGGTTGAGTAGAAATTAGAAGAGTTAAAAATATATTTTTAAATTGTCAACGTGTTTTAGCAGCCTATGCTAGGCCTGTTAATATTAGAACTAATTAGTTAGCCAAGTTACAATGCATCTCTACAGTAGATAATCAGCACTGTCACCAAGTCCACTGTCTCTGGGGTTACAGAAGGCCTGGTTGATGTATATCTGGCATTTAGAAAGAGAAGTCAGAATGAATCTTTTTTTTTTTTTTTTTTTTAAATGAAATAAGGGGGGTTAGGTAATGATTTCTATTGTGGAAAGAGCTAAAAAATTATGTTTGTTAAAGATATTTGTCAAAGGATAAAGATGTTTACTTATGTACTTGTACCTGTGGCTTTTTCAGTTTACTAAATTAAACTTCAATTTTAAAAGAAGTAAAAGATACAGATATGTCTCAGAGAAATAGAAGATACTGTAGGGTGGCCTGAATTCCATATTCTGAAACTCAAGGAGAGCAAAGTCACAGAATGCTGAAGAATTCAGGAGTAGTTTGGTTTTATCTCACCTCCATCTTTTTTTTCCTTTTCAGAGAAACGACAAAAGTTTGCTTCTCAATCCCTTCTGTAAAAGCCCAATTGGGCCGGGTTCGGTGGCTCACGCCTGTAATCTCAGCACTTTGGGAGGCCGAGGCGGGCAGATAACGAGGTCAGGAGACCATCCTGGCCAACATGGTGAAACTCCATCTCTACTGAAAAGACAAAAAATTAGCTGGGCGTGGTGGCGCGCGCCTGTTGTCCCAGCTACTCAGGAGACTGAAGCAGGAGAATCGCTGGAACCCAGGAGGCGGAGATTGCAGTGAGCCGAGATCTCGCCATTGCACTCCAGCCTGGGCGACAGAGCCAAAAAAAAAAAAAAAAAAAAGAAAAGAAAAGGGAACAAAGGCTCAAAACACTGAAACTAAGAGCCAGATGGTTATTTCAAATATGCAGGACAAGAGGGAGCCCACATAACCATTTGGGAAAGATCCTTTTAGGGCTCCCAGAACTGAGGAAATCAGGTGGTACCACTTTGAGTACAGTATTTGACATGAATGAGTCACTGGAGAGCCACTTTTGGTAAGTTTAGGAATCAAAGAAAAAAGTCGCTCCACTGCAGATTGATCCATTTTTTTTTTCAGGGATAAACAGCAGATTATGGCTTCGGAGTCTGGGCTGTCCTTTATTGGAGGGCACGATGCACCATAGATTTTTATTTTCACGAAACAGACTCCAGAGGTTTGTGGACTTCCAGACAGCAGCTGGCACCGGGCAGAGGCACAGACTATGGCCTGAGCTGCTGGCGACTGCCTCGCGCTTGGCCGTGCGTCCCTGGCTGCGCTGGCCAGCACCGCAGCCCGAGAGCTTCCCATTCCGAGCAGGAGGGGCTGTTCCTCCTTATATTTGGGGGAAAGGAGCTGGTTTGAAGGAAAGGAGGGATTAAGTTTGTAAAAGCGTTGGCTCCTCCTTATAACTCTGGTGCCTAATGGGGATGAGATGATAGCCAAATAAAACGAAGAGAGATGACCCCGTTTTGAGTGAGGAGGATTTCTGGATGAGCCGGCGATGTGTCCTGCAACTGTCGATTTGGCAGATTTGACTCAGTCAACTGCCAGTTGGTTTCCACTTCAAACACACCTCCCTCAGCCTATCGCTCTGACCAACTCCCCAGACTCGGGGTGGGGAGCGAGCAGAACAAGAGAATCAAAAGTCAGCCTTCTTTTGGTCTCTGCTCCTGGTTCTGAGCAGGCTGATGTTTGAGAGGAAAAGCCAGGACTGCTTGGGCTCTTTGGCGGGATTTGAGTGTGTGTGGGGGGAGGGTAGGAAGAGGTGGGAGCAGAGTTAGGCTGAGGACTGAGCGAAGCCCCTTATTTTGCGTCCCAGCTGCCCTTCCGGTCCCCAGCGCCCAGCCCCCGCCGCGGCTGGGTGAAGAGGAGGGGGCGAGGAGGGCGCAGGGCGTGGGGGATGCCCAGCAGCGCCTCGCGCCCGCGGTGGCGGAGGGGCTGTCTCTTTAAGCGCTCCGGAGGGGCTGGGGCGGGAGGGCGGCGAGCGCGTTTCCATGGCACCGGGGCTGCGGGGGCTGCGGGTCCGCTGGGCTCACTCGGTTTCAGTCGCTCCCGGCGGAGCAAGGGGCATGCAGCTCAGCGGCCACCGAGCCTCTGGGGCTCGCTCGGCCGCTCCTCTCGCACTCCCAGCCGCCTCTGACGCCTGTCGGGGCCAAGCTACTGCCGTTCCCGCCGCAGACAGACGCACCGCGCCAGCCTCGCGAGCCCCGCACCAACTTCTGCCCGACGAGCCCAACTTCTGCGCCGGGTTCGGACTTGCGGAGCCGGAACGGCGCGCCGCGCGCAGCCAGGGCGGCGGCCAGGGCGGATCAGCCTAGCCGAGATGTCCTCGCGACTGTGCTTCTGCGTCTGGGAGGTTGCCGTCTGGCCGCCAGGAAGCGCCCTACAGCTCCGGTTGGGCATGTAAGTGGCGCCGGCGCGCTCCGGAACGCTTGGAGAGAGCAGACAACAGTGTGCCCCGCCCCACCCCGGACCTGGCGCGGACACCGCGGGCCGAGCCCGGGAAGGGATCGGGGGCAGGAGGTGCAGGGAGACACCTGCGGGGGCTGCGGGCTGTCCCGGGCGGAGCGAGGCGGAACGCAGTCCCCAACGCGTCCTTGGGGAGCGCCAGCCCGGGAGCGGAAACCGCGACCGGGGCTGGTGTCCACCGGGTACTTTCTCGGCGCCTGACAGATTCCTCCCCATCCTCCCCACCCCGAGGTTTGGGTGTGTGCGTGTGTGAGCGCGTGGGATGTGTGCATTTTCTTTAATTTTCTGTTTGAAGAGTAATTGGCTAATGACTACCACTTTGTGAAAGGGTTTTGAATGAAATCCTGTCGAACAGCGAGTTTGACATTTTTTTTCTTTGTAGAGATCAATGACTTCGTGCACATGTTACCTTTCTTTCTTTTTTGAGAAGTATCGCCGAGTCGGACGGAGTGGTTTATTCCACAGGTTTGACGAGAGGCAAATCCCGGCTCATCTGCCGAAGTGAGGAGCTGGGGAGATGAGTATGTGAAGGATTGAGTGCTCGGCCACTTAGCTACTAGTCCCCTTATTAGAGAATTGAAGAGTTAGTAGGAAGGTGACTCAAACGCATCGTCTCAGGATGGGCATGGTTTTGTTCCGGATTAGAAATCATGAAAGCTAGGAGATAATTTTTGTCACCGTGTCAACCAAAGCGAGGAGCTCATGGGAAGTCTAAGTCTTTACAAATTGCCTAGTCCTCTTGACTGGCTGAAGTTTCACCTGAGTTCTGTAGCATCAGCGGAATCATCATCGAACCGCCTGAGAGAGAAGCCAGATCTAATTCTGCTTTTCGATTTCTGCTCCTGGGCGGTTATGAATAGACACCAGAGTGTTTGAGCATTTAAACATTTTTGCCATTTTGCTCCTACTTTGCTTCACTTTTGCTTTTCTGAAATGTGAATACTTTATTATAGAAAAATGGCTTAGATAAGTACACAAAGCCATCCATAGATCTCTGGGGCTTTACTTTTTCCTGTAAGAAAAATTCGATTTTGGGGTTCAAATTACATATTTCATTTCTTTCATGTGAAATTCAATCTTGACACATGGCCAGGGTATCAGTGGCATCTCAGAACTTCTTGCCTACATAGTTTGTAAATATGTATTTGGCGAAAATGCCACGTTTCTGGGTATGTGATTTCTCTTGAATTGATGTGTCTTATTTTGAAGAGAAGGTTGATTTAGACTTTTCTTCAGTTTATCTCAGAAAACACATCCCACTTTGGATAGCTTGTGCATGTGTAAGCCTGCACTTCTTAGAAACTGTCTTTTAGAAAGCTTGCAGAGTAGCCATACTCTTACCTTTGTAAGTGCCTTTATTTAAGTGGATCCTAGGTTGGCTAATTAGCTACAAAATCACCCATGCATCCTGAGACAAAACAGTCCCTTTGGAGAGAAACAGAAATAACAGAAATACCTACATCACTTTTGATATTGTTTGACTGTTTTACCTCAGGTTTCAATATTGACTCTTTTGTTGAAAACGCTGGAGGGATGACACTGCATTTTTTTTTTTTTTCTTTTAAGGATACTGCTACTGCAGCTCATTTATTTATCAAGTGAGATGAGATCAGATATTTAAAAGTATATACATTCTTAAGTGTTTAATACAGATGCTTTTTCCAGGATGTTATTGAGATCAGTCTGATGACTCTTAGTACTTTCTGAAATCTTGATGGGAAAAATCCAAATTTTGTAGTTCTCCTTGATATTAGACATAATGGTGGTTTCTTCAGCAGGAATCGTGTTGGGATTTAGTGCTAGGTTTCTTTAGATGCCTTTGCAATTGTAGGCATGTGAAAGGTAGCCACGTATAGATAGCACTTGGCTTCCGCATACCTGCCTATCTATTAAATTAAAGAGAATTATTCCTGAGATTTGTATTGACCTCTGAGGTCCATTATCAGTGAGAGCAGGCTTCTAATGAGGTGAAGACCGCTAATGAGAATGCATCATCTTACTGACTGGCACTTATAGGTCATTAACACAAGTAAAAGTTTGATGTAGCTAAACTTGTTCTTGAACAAATTTTGGAGTTGGGGTGACAAGTGAAAATAGGAAACAATTGTGCAGCTAACCAACAGTCAGCCTAAATTTAATGCATTGTGTTTATGGTGCATTCCTCCGAAGGTAAGCTCATTTTCAAAGAAATTTTTTTTTTTTAAGAAAGCAAAAGGTGAATGACATATGAATATTCCAACTCTAATGATAATTGATCTGATGACCTTGTCTTATCACATTTAGGAAATCGTGAATAATTAATATTAGGCAGATTCATAGAATCTGTATTTCAGGAAGAGTGCCTAAGTACCTGTTACTTACGGAGGCATTAGAAATCACAGGTAATAATTATCCGTTTGAATTCTTACATGCCAGGCAAATTTCTAGCTACTTTACATGTATTATTTCATTTAATCCTGGAAATGCCCTATGAGGTAGGCACATTATCATACCATTTTATGACAAAGAAAGAGACACAGTAAGGTTAAGTTACCTTCCAAAAATTCAGAAGATCTGGGTCTAGGCAGTTAGATTCCAGAGCTGAAGTTCTTAACACGTGTAATCCATTTCAGAAGGCTCAGGCCCAACCTCTGTTTTTAAGAAGTTCCTTTTAATCACTTCAATGCGTTTTCAGTAGGAATAGGGTTGGTACCTTCTACCTAGTGGTTGAAATACCTGTGCCGCCTTTTTTGATTGTTGCCATAGTTATAGGGTTATGTTGGCATTCTGTGGTGGGTATGGGGAGAGGTTGGCATGCTAATTGTCCTGCTATGGGTAGGATAGCTCCTCACAAGGAAGATCTGATTTATCTCCTCCTTATTGAGACTCTTCATAGGAAATTATACTCCTCTGTCATGGCTGTAAGTATTTGAGTATTAAAATGAGGGGGTAGGTTTAAGCTGGGTATTATAGAGTGAGAGAAGTTATCTGAGGCAAGTGCATTAAAAATTGGAGAGTTGTAACTGGTAATGGCATTTTGATAAAGGGATATTGAAGAGTTTACTTATGCTAATGGTACTCTGCAAATGTTTTCTAAAGGATTAAATAGGAGGAAATAAACTGTACTCTGGATCTTTGAGACATCAAAGGAAAATGATTGGCTGTAATGCACTCTATTAAAATTTATCCTTTGTAATGTACTCTTGTAAATACTTGTATAATTATCTTATGCATCCTAATGAAAAGTAGTAAACATGGGAGTGTTGCAGATATCATAGCAAGCATGAATGAATAAAGGAAGATGAAGTAGCTTAAGCTCCTGGGACATGTGATACTTGAATTTCTCTGATATCTGGAGGGAATTTTTAAACAATATGGCCACTTTGTGACTCAGCAGTAGTCTAAACTGTGTAGGACATTTCACTCCCATCCCCTAAGATACTACAGGCAGTTTTGACATCCCTAGTATGTCTGATATGAAACTGTCTACCCTTCTCCCATGACACGCATACATGGAACTATGTTTCACCGCTTAATTACAGGCTTAATTATAGGCTTCTGTAGTTAATATGGAAATTTAGGGTCAGAGAGAGAGTGACAGTGACTTAGATTTTATGAAGAATCAATGGATTTGGAAATAGAGCCGGTCAATAATCTATGATAATAATTCGGAATAGTGAAGGAGAGGTGACAGAGTTGTCTATTGTCCCCCCCACATGCTGGAATTTGTTTCTTTTTATTATTATTCTTATTTAAACTTTTGATGTTATACAGCGTGAAATTGAGCTGTCTTAGTTCATTCGGGCTGGTGTAACAAAATATCATAAACTGGGTGGGTTTTAAACAACAAATATTTATTTCTTATGGTTCTGGTGACTGAGAAATCCAAGATTTCTCAGAATCTTGGATTTTGGTAGATCTGATGTAGAGCCTGTTTCCCGGTTCACAGATCTAGCTTTGTCCTCACGTGATACAAGGGGTAAAGGAGCTCCCTTGGGCATACATTAATTTCAGTCATGGGGGCTCTACCCTCATGATTTAATCACTTCTCAAAGGCCCCATTTCCTAATACCATCACATTGGGAGTTAGGGTTTCAGCACAGAAATTTTAGGAGGAAACAAACATTCAGACCATATCATGAGTGAACTAGAGATATCCGGGGCTAATAATAATCCCTTATTTATTTACTTACTTACTTAGTTGTTTTTGAAACAGAGTCTCACTCTGTCACCCAGGCTGGAGTGCAGTGGTGCGATCTGGGCTCACAACAACCTCTGTGTCCTGGGTTCAAGTGATTCTCATGCCTCAACCTCTTGAGTAGCTGAGACTACAGGCACATGCCAACCACATTCAGCTAATTTTTGTATTTTCAGTAGAGACAGGGTTTCCATGTTGGCCAGGCTGGTCTTAAATTCTTGACCTCAAGTGATCGCCCACCTCAGCTTCCCAAAGTGCTGGGATTACAGGCATGAGCCACCACACCAGGCCAATAATCCCCTTAAACTTACAAATAATTTAAGCATAGTCTGGGTTTACTCATTAATTTAAATTAATTGGAAAAGGGTTCTTTTTCTTTTGAGGCCAGGCGCATTAAATGAGCAGAAAATGAATTTGAGAAGAGAAGGCCGTGTGTATTCTCTATGGGTAAAACATTTTTTAAAGCAGTTTGTGTATTAATATCTTTAATCCTAACAATAATCATATGAGGTAGATAACACCATCATCTTTTCAGATAAGGTCACTGAGGCCTAGAGAGGTGTATTAGTCCATTTTCACACTACTATAGAGAACTACCTGAGACTGGGTAATGTATAAAGGAAAGAGATTTAATTGACTCAAAGTTCTGCATGTCTGGGGTGACCTCAGGAAACTTACAATCATGGCAGAACGTGAAGGGAAAGAAAGGCATATCTTACATGGTGTCAGGAGAGAGAGAGTGAGAACAAGGGGGCAACTGCCAAACACTTTTAAATTATCAGATCTCATGTTAACTCACTCACTATCATGAGAACAGCATGGAGGAAACTGCTCCCATGATCTAATCACATCCCACCAGGTCCATCCCTCGACACATGGGGATGTCAGTTTGAGATGAGATTTGGGTGGGGACATAAAGCCAAACTGTATAATTCTGCCCCTATTCCCTCACAAATCTGATGTCCTTCTTACATTTCAAAACATAATCTTGCTTTCCCAATAGTC